TCCATTCCTACCCTAGCTACACCTCTAATCAGTCGGTTGATTGACAATGCTGACGATAGAATACAATATTCCGAAATCTGTGTATGATTTATTTAAATAAATAAAAAATATTTCTACGGGCTTGTCGATTCTATTTTACTTCTTCAAAGTTAGGCTGGGTGAGGTAAGGTGGCAGAAGTTGTTCTTCATTGTGTTAACACCTTGTAGCATTCGTGCAACGGTAACTTAAGGTAATTCGTGTGAAGTTGGACATTTTTTTAGGTGCTCAAAGTAAAGTTGACGAAATATAAGCCGAGGTGTTTAAACCTTAGTCTAGTCAAGCAAAGAATTGCTGAGATGATTTCATCTCGTCCTCCAAACCTGGCGATATTAGGTTGCATCACATGGGTTCCTAAATGACCTTGACCGGTCGGTAAGAATGAAGAACTGGCGCTTAGCTAACTGCAGAAGCCCCTTTGACCACCCGCAGTCAATTGCCGGCCATGAAGACTTTGAAGCCTTGCATTTATGGGGTTTTGTACAGCGCCGAGCTGACTGCAAGCTCATCAGTCCAGGAGATAACTTAAGGGGCACCCTGCTCAGCCAATTCGTTTGGCCTGCAATTTCCAGAGATGAATACTCCGAGACGATTAAGAGAAAGGTCACACAATCTCCGAGCAGTTTCAATCGCATCATGATCGATTCTAGAACCTGATGGTCGCTTGACTATCAGCGTAGATATTTACCCTTCTAATCGCTAATACCTTGCGCCTAGTGAGGCTGCCTGTTTTATAGCTGGCACATCTGCCTAATAGACGCTGAAAAGGTTCGGCAGCCTGATCATGTTATTTACTGAGAGTTCCTATCAGGAAAAACCTCATCCAACTATGCCGTCCAACTTCGACTCATACGCGAATATATGTAGTTATTGGATCTCTATTCCAGAGGCTGCCACATTTACCCCTTAGAGGACGTGTCTCGAGAAGGATCCGTTCGAGGTCAGCCTCGGGAGGCAGGAGGCAGGTGGACAAATTTCATGGTGAAAGTCAGTGTTGTCACTTCGGAAATCAAATTAATGGAATTTACTAACAAAAACTGGGCTAGATCTCACAAAAATTGTGGTATAATATTTGAAACATTTAACACATTTGTAAACTTTTTATTCGTCGAATTACACTATATGTATGATTGTATGATCGCAACATCGGTCCAACTGCAACTATTCCTGTGCCTTTTCTTCGGTAAAGAGCCGGCAATGTACCATGTTTTGGTTTATCCGATATGTATCAGATATGCCTGCTCAGCCCTTCTTATTACTTAGATCAGTTTGAAATCTCCTTCTGTAGCTGAACTTCAGATGTATCTCTCGGTAATGCATTGTTGGGCCTTGCTTCGTCAGGATATCGATCTGCCATCCTTAATAGAGCCGTTTTCGCCTGAGTCTTTATTTGAATACTAAAGAGGAGTATAATTTAAAAGAATGGCCAAGGGTGCGGTTTGCCAAGTTTCCATAGCTCCAGCGCTTTGATGGTCTCAAGTTGTACAGTTCTATTGACCCAGATGATAGCTCCATCTCAGCAATATTGGCAAACATCTCCAGCTCTTTCCTGCCATGAACAACACACCATGAATTATCTTGCAGTTTTCATTGCAGTTAACTCCACGTGCCTTTTCCAGAATAATTTTTGGTTTAGTATTACTCTTAGAAATTTAACCTCTTTTTGGTACATTTTGATTGTTTTAAGACTATCAAATTTACATATATTTATTTGAGAATAGTATTATTGTGGTTTTTCTGAATTTATATTCAGCCTCAACTTGGCTCAGCATTTTTTGGTAACATTCAGCACTAGCTGGATTCGTTTACAGACAGTGTGTTCGAACTAGGGACACGATATCAAACGACTCGATACTCACAATATCGATACCAAATTCAAAAAATTAGATCTGATTGTTGGACTCTTAAAACCCAAAATATATCCATATCAATTCCAAAGTATAGACATATGGGCGTTTCCAGCGGTAGGTCATAGTACGACATAGATTTGCAATAAATGAAAGCGTTAGGGTGCGCTGTAGTTAAAATAAAAAATATATTCGACATAAAATTCATATTTTATTTGCGTTAAAAATTAGTTTAAAAACAATATTAACAAAAAAGTTTCAATTGAGATTTTAGTAGCGTAATGTCATTCAACGTGACGTCATATAATTCGGCTGATAAAAAAAAACAGGAAAGATTTTTACATTTTGGAACTTGGAAAATTAGCCTTAAATACTTCAAATATTACTACAAATTGTGTTAACCAATTCCCAGGGTTTTCGAATCTTGACGTTTTCATTTAATTTTTAACAATTTGTCACGCCACGCCAGATTGGAAATGCCCATATTTACTTTTCCTTGAGCATATCAAAAAGAATTTAATAAAAGAAAATTATTTTTAATATAAAGTGCAATAGTATATTATTAATTTCATTAAGTTTGTAATGCACCTTTGCGATTCGATACGATACAAGGGTTCTCGATTCCAAAATATATGGTATCATAACGTATCGAAATTCGTATCCGAACTTGTCCCTGCATGTTGGTACGATGTCATCGGCATACGCCTGGAGAGTTAAACCTGCATTCACGAGATCTTGAGACAGTCCGTCGACGACTATCTTTGGTAGTGGTAGTGGAGATACAACTCCACCTTGGTTTTAGGAAATAATACAATAATAATCTTTTGGCGCTCACATTTTGGTAGGCGTTTGGCCGAGCTTTAGCTCCAAATACTGGTGTGCGTCTTGATGTTGTCGCACATAAAGGGGAGGAGTTACAGTTTTTCGCCGCCTCCTAACGGTAAATGGATTTTATGAGAAGTTTTTAATGTAAGCAATATGATAATTAAATACCATAGAAGCGAAAACTTTTTCTTGCATTTGGATTTGTTAGGTAATCATATATGTATATGTACTAAATGTATTCCTCAATTTACCTGTTTAGTTGCATATAACCCACTGCTTCAAAAAATTTGCATAGCCATTTGTTTCCGCAGTTTTTTTTTTAAGTTAAAACACATGAAAGAAGAAACCCAAAAAAATTTGGTTAATATTACTTTTGTGTAAAATCTACATATAAATAAGTTGTGTCTTATAGTGAAGATATAACGGAGCTGTGAATACATAAGTAGGTACTTGTACCCCGTGCTTGTTGTAGCCGTTTTTAAGGGACCTATAGCTCGTTTCTGTAAGAGTTCTCTACTGCTAATATTTATATTCTCTACCAGTAGAGAATAGGCATAAAACGTTACGAGTTAATACAAGTACATACTCGATACTTTTCGATCGATACCAAGCAATTTTGGCATTGATACTTTTGAACCAAGTACTGAGTAGGTATCGAAAAACCAATACTCGATACTAAGACCAATGTGGCTTCGGCAATTTTTCCTCCATTGTTATTCGGCATATTAAGCGCCTTGCTCGTTATGGCTGTTTAATTGGCAACCAACAAATGCGATATAGTCGATATAGTGCAAAGAATACACGCTCCAAGTGCTTCACCAAAGTCGATGTAAAGCGACGTATACACGGCCCAACTGTTCGAGTGGAAGAGTGACTGGATGAATGTTCAGTACAGACGTACCAACGCGATGTTAAGCTCACTGGGTAACTCTACGGGCGTGACGCGGGTTAGCATGTGAAGGCCTTGAGCAAAATGCAGGGAAATACATACGCAGAAAATACTAGCGAAAACTACAAAAGGTAGTGGGAGTATAGCTCTGATATTAAAGAATATAATCAAAGGAGAAAAAGAGTAGTGTACGAAAAGTTGATTAAAAAAAAAATTTTGGAAAAAACTAAAATATTCCAGGAAATTTAAACGCCATCTTCGTATTTAGTCTGGAGAAAAGTAAATGCCATATCGAAAAGTTTTCCAGTTCGCGGTATCTAGACACTAGAAATTCTTTAATTTTTTAAATGCTTTGAAGAATTTCTTTTAGTAAAATTTCATCCGTATCATTTTGTTTCTCTACTCTTCACACTTCCAGTTGTATGTAAAATTCTACCGGGTGAAGTATTTAATAAAGATACATTTTTACAACTATCGTATTTAAATCTTTGGCTCATAATTTTTAAAAGCCTCTATTCTTCGGAGGTACAACAAAAGCAGACTTTTTCTCATAAATATCTTATGATTAATTTTTTTTCTTAGACAAGATTAACCTTCTTGAAATTTTTTCCAATGGATTGGCTGTGTCAAATATGATTCATCATTAAACATATAGTTTGGAGTGAAGAATTCCCAGATAATGGCTAACTTATGACATTAAATAAAAAAATTTAACCTCTTTAGTTCATAAGGAATAACTTCCTGGCCAAAAGTATCGATATGAGTAGTTATCGATACTTTAGATCCCATATTTTTCAGGTATCGATACTTTTTTTCGATAGTACTTCCAAGTAAAATTATCGATAACTGCATGGTATCGCTTCATCCCTAGTAGAGAAATAATCGGCAGAGAAAGGTTACAGAAACGGGCTACTGGCCTCATAAATCAGAAAACGAAAGGGATTTTATAAGATTAATTAAAAGCACTAGGCATTTAATTGCCAAAACAAGAAAAAAATTGGTTGAGTGCCTGTTTATATTTTTAATTCCGTGAACAAATTAAGGGACGGTGCAGGATTCTATTTAAATATCTGTAGTCCTAAGCAATAACCGCCTAAGGGGAATAGCCTGAGTTCGAGAAAAAACTTTTAAAACATTTGGATTGTAACGGTAACCTTATGGGGAAACCCAAATATGTTCGTGTATAACTTTCTAAATAGCCTAGCTGGCGAGATGGGGATGGATAGTACGATAGCATATATAACTCAATTTGTTCTTAAGTCGATTTAGGCGGTTATTGCTTATGACCACATATATTTGATTGCTCCAAAAGAAAGATCAACATCACATATTTTTTATCGAATATTTTCAACATTTTATCAAACTTTATTTGCTTTTATAGAACAACCTAGAAAATCAATCGCTAAAAGTATCCCTGTGGTGGATAACTGATGTGCTGTTCCTCCTGCGCATTCGCGTGTGTTCGTGCCGCATAGATAAGTGCTGCGATGAAGGCGCTATTGTTCAGCATCATTGTCATAATAGTTGCCATTTTCAGCATGGGCAAGAGGAATGGCAGCACAGTGCCCATTAGAATAGCTGGCATAACCATTACCGGCACAGCCATTTGCAGAATAGTGTTTTTGTATGAGGAGTACGAGCCCTTTTTGTTCTTGCGGCGTATACCGCCAGCACCGCCACCGCCACCAGCGCCATGACCACCACCCACTCCACCAGCCACGCCACCAACGGCATTTCCAGCGCCGCCCAATCCTCCTAGTTCGCTTTGCTTCATGTGCGCAAATTCATCAGCTTGGGTTTCAGTCACATCCGCAGTGGCCAGAGTTTCATCGATTTCCTCAACAAGTTTCGAAGCGCGTCCACTAGCCGCACTCACGGTTTGCATCTTTGATTCTGTTTTGATTTTAGAGAGAGGAGAGACAAGAGAAAAAAGAGAAAGTAGGATATCATATGTTGAGTATCTATCATGATTTTCCTGTTCTATGAACCACCACGCACTTTTACTCTTCTTCAATGTGAAGCTCAGCTTATTGTCACGGCTTGGCACAATTTTTACCATTATGCCCGGCAGAAAGTGCAGTTTGATATCGCGATGCTTAAAGAATCGTTGAAATTTCAAAACCAAACACTGATTCAGCTTCTCATCCGACATACTGGCGTATTTGTTGTTTATCAAACTGCCCAGCCTGTCGTCCGAGTCGAAGAATTGATCGAGGAAATCGCGCGTCAAGTTGCCAGTGTGTCTCATATGCTTGCGTTCTTCCAATTTCTGCAGCACAAACAATTTTGTGCAACGCAAAATGCTGAAGCCGCGCAAGCACTCATAGACGCGCATTGGCAGTGACGCCTGAAAGTATGGCACACTTTTTACTACCTTTTCAGTGTGGCGTGCGAACGAAGTGGAGTCTCCTCCGTCGGCAGCATTGCCGCTGCTGCTACTACGTATATCACTACGTTCGTCAGCTGCTTGCGTAGGCGCGCTGTCAAACAAACGCTCTTGATTGGTGGGCGCTATCAGCCCAAAAACAACAATAACAAAAGCCATGATTGGAAAAAAGCACGTGCACTGAGACATTTTGAGCGCCATTATTTTATTAACAATTAAGTTGCGACTATTTTTATTAATTTTTTTTTTTTGGAATATTGTCTATAATTATTATATTTTCAGCTAATAAATGACGATAATTTTACTGCTTCTCACTTCAATTGCACTTCTGTGCAGTTTCACGCACCAACAGCGACTGATGCGCTCGATTTTGTAGCGCGCCAGCAAATCCCAAATGCTGCCATTCTTGGCAGTTATTGTTCGAGATTTCTAGCTGGAAATTCTAGACTTTCTTGTTGGCGGCGAAATTAATATCAACTCCAACTATTTCTTAGCCAAGTGGCAAGAAGAATCACTACCATGCAATACCGTTTTAATGGGGTTCTTGGAAAGAATCTAGTACAGCTTAGTATTTAGTCTGCCAATAACATTGCCATTCTTCTGTCGCATTTTAACACAGCTTGTTTAACCACTCAACTTTCAGTTCATCGATTCGCTTCGCAATATTACTATTTTCACTTAATTGTTGATGCTTAAGCTTTCGAACGCAAAAAAAAACTGCATATTGTCTAGCAGATAGTATACATATCCATGAGCAATTGGAAAAAACGACCTGATTATTATTTTGCGTAAAAGTAGTCTTAAGTGGCACATACTTATTTGCGAGTAAATGTAAACATTCGTACAAGTGCATGAAAATTACTGTTATCCTCCGTAAAGTTGTGGCGGACAATGCACGTTCGATCACTGAATGGAAATTAGATTGGTGCATTGGCATGAAAGCTTTCGAGTAAATGTAAATATATATTCATTCTATACCAGAATGATTTGATGAGAGTATAGAGAGAGAGAGAGATTATCAACGATATGCTGAATGGTGCGAATATTTTCAGGGTGATAAAGACGCATGCCTTAATTCCCAAATAGATTAACTCCGTTAACAAAAATTTCAGAGATGCGATCAAATAGTATAATCTACAGGTATACATATATAATGCACGAAGAGGTTTTTCGTCCAGGCCATCTGGGGCCTATTTCATAATGTGACAGTGATGATTTTGTAACGACAGGCATTTTCGACGTTGTCAGTGACAATTCCGACAGTTTGGTGGGTGTTTTGTTGCAGAAAAACAATTGTTACCACCTCTTCAATTCCATGAGAAATTCCATTGAAAAAGTGACAAGTTGTCATTGTCGGGGTTTAAAATTGTTGTTGACAAAATTGTCGCCAGTCATACGAAATTTATATATAAATCATATGTAATAATTTCACTTGCATTATTTTAGTTTTAAGAAATATTCAAGTTATTGAAAAGTAATTAAATGCGCGCAACTACCATATAAATGAATTTACAAAACTCTCCTGTGAAAGTTTTCCAACGGAGCTTTTTGGCTTTATCGCTGTCGGTTTCCGAAAATTTTCACACTTGCCTACAATCGTATATGAAACAGAAGATATTCAAAAACAGTACCAGAAAATGCTTGCTCGATAATTTTTGGCCCCCATAACTTTCAAGTTTTTTCCTATATATATACTAAATATATAACCAATTATATACTCAATGCTAACAAAATAATTAGTAAATTGATTTGAAAAGTTCATATGTGGGTCATCCGGTTCTGTAACAAGCTATTCTCTCGAACTTCCAACCACTTCCATTTAAAAAGGGTAAAAACTTGGATGCAGTCGACAATGAGAGCAAATGGATTGAAAGGTAAACTAAAAATAAATTTCAATTGTTTTTATTACTTTGTCTTTAGGTTTGTGTCTTCTAAGCGTACATCGTAAGTTTCGTATCACATAAACAATCTGAGATTATTGATAAAACTATAGGCCGGTTTGGTGAACAGCCAAGACGTTTATTTTTGTATGTAAGACGTTTACTTCTTAAGATATTATAGCAGATGGCAGAAAACACATAATAATAATAATAGATTGGCGCTTACACATATGTTAGTGTTTGGCCGAGCTTCTCCTCCGATTTGTGGCGTGCGCCTTGATGTTGTCACACAAAGCGGAGGGACCTACAGTTTTACGCCGACTCCGAACGGCGATTGTATTTTAATGAGAAGCTATTTTTCATGACAGAAAAAACACTCGGAGCTTTGCCATTGCCTGCCGAGGGACGACTGCTGTTAAGAAAAAACCTTTTTTCTATATTTTTTTGCGATATTGCTTTGACCAGGCTTTGAACCCAGGCGTTGCGTAGCAGAAAACACATAGCGCACAAAAATTTCTATTATAAAATTAGCATATTGGAGACTGCTAAAATATCTATTTTAAATTGTAGTTAAATCATTAGTAAAACTTTACTACAGAAAATTCTGTGTAATTTTTAAGTATAACTAATGATTTAACTATACTTAAAAAAATAGATAAGTTAACGGCCCTTAATTAATTTTTTATTTATTACATGGTGTGACAAAACAAAATTAAGTAATGTATTTAGCATAAATGAATATATCGGCATAAAAAATCTGCATACTCAAAATGTTCAATACGTCTTCATATTTATAGATACATATGTATATAATTTAAGAGAAGATATTTCGCCGCAAAGCAACAATTATAAATTGTTAGTTTACCTTAAAAAATTGCATATGGATACTACAGAGTATACGGAAAAGTTTATTTTTTTAACATTTTTTATTTTGAATAACGTCTTGTCCGGCTATTTGGTTTACTATACATCTATGAATTTAAAAAACATATCAGGGTTTAGTTGAGATATTCGCCTTTGACCACTAGGTTTTGTACATTTCCCAGTACTGCAAAGCCATTCACCTGGGAGTGGCCAAAAGTGATTCGTGTGCTTACGGTTCAAATCGCAGCTCACTACGTCCGGATAGTTATTTCGATGAATCCTCTGGGTAGCGACCGAACACTAGTTTGGGAGCGAGCTAAAGTGGGAAGGCGTAACACCCCGCGTGCGCTGGGTTTGGGTCCCGCCACGTTAAAATCTTTGGGATCTCTGGCGCTAGTGTTGGAAAATTCAGCCTCCACATAGAAACGGCGGGCTGAGGCTGATCGACTTCACCGCGGCCCGAAACTTGGCAGTATGTAGTACTGGGTTCTAGCATAAAAATATCCATCAAGCTACATGGGTGTCTCTAGATGGAAAAACGGGGAAACAAATCGAGCATATTGCGATGCTTCCAGTGTTTTAGATGTACATACGTACACTCCGAGGGCCAAACATCGACTTAGACCACTATATTGATGCAGCCAATACACGACACTACTTCGGTGCAGCAAAAAAAGGGCCCCCAACAATGCAAGGAAAGTTGAACGTCGAAAAGCTGCTATCAAAACAGACGACCAAGGGATTCGCCGAACGACTCTCATACCTGCTGTGAGAGAGATCTCTTTGGACTGAGTAGGCAATTCAGGAGTGAAGTCCTTTCTCGACGTACGAAAATCACACTCACTAATCATGCCCGCGCTGGTATATGGCGCAGAAGCATGGACAATGATAACCTCGTGTAGCTCTTGGAGGTTTTGAGAGAAAGATTTTGCGGAAGATTTACGGGCCTTTACGCGTTGGCGACGGCGAGTACCGCAGACGATGAAACAATGACGGTGGGGAGTTTAGTTTGCTTTAAAGTCTCACACGGACGGGGTTAGGCTTTCGATGCTTCCTCCTCGTAAAATAAACATGCGCAGTATAAAGTTAACTACATATTTTAATCGACGAATAGTTTTATTTAACTCTATTGGTTACAATAATTTTAAGATATGATAAAAAAATTTTTGTTAGTAGTTATTGGTTTTGATTTTTTTTTTTTAAAGGGCAGATAAATATTAAAACCTACTTGAGAAATCGGCCCATAGCCTTCTAAGATTTATTTTCTTGTACGTTTACTATTTCCTTTAAAAATTTTCTGGCAAAAGAAACAAATCTGCCATGTGCGAATATTCTACAATTTCTCCTAATTTATTTACGCCATAAAACTGCAAAATTAGTTACAACATTTCTCACCAAGAATTAAGCAAAATGTTTAGTCAATTAAATTTTCACTCCAATGTGGTTACTCTAATCCATGCAAATCAAAGTAATTTCCAGCGGACATACTCCCACATTTTATCGAAATCGAGAAATCGTTTCCCAAACACAGTATTCGACCTCATTTCCCAAATGTTATCGACTCATTCCGAATCATTTTAAACACTTTCTTCTTTCTACATGGTGAGCCATCGATCAAAACGTGCAAACTTGAATGGTCACGTTTAGGGGTTTGAATGTTTGAAGTGTACCAAAAAAAAAAGCGAGGAAGTGCTTGCGGCAGTTCTGAATACTAAACAGGCACACGAGCAATTGAAATCATTTCACTTTTCAATGAGCGCATTTTTTACATTTCTTTTATTTTTCGTATCTCTGCTTTTGTTTGTTTTACAAATTCATTTTGCAAGTATGCAAATTTGATATATTATAAAATCTTTATGATTAAATAAATAATTAAATAAATACTTAAACTAACTAAATTAATTAAAATGCTAATAATTAAAAGTTAATGGTATTTTTGGTCTCTTTTCAGCGTTCGTTTTTAGGGCTCTTCATTGAGGTAAGCAACGTCCTTTGTCCACGTATCTCCATTCCAGCGCGTACAAGCAGTGCGCTGCATGTTTTTGGCGCATTCTACCATTCCTTCTCAAGCCACACGGGTTGTTGGGTGTGCGAGTGTGAATATACTACCGGCACGGGTGCTGGTGCGGTGTAGGTGGCCGCATGTACTTGCGGAACGGCGCGTGAAAGCATCTGACCGATGGCTAAAATCAACAGTATCACCTGAAAGGAGGCGATCGTATAGAGAAGTGGAGTATGTAATTGTAAATATGTGGTTGATAGGTAATTTTAGATTAATACTCACGCCGACACCCAGACCCTTCATCGAAACAACGGTGAGCGCAGCCAACAGTGTGGTGATCACACCCACAACAAAGGCGCCGGGAATGACAGCAAAACTCAAACGCTTCAGGAAGTGATGACTGAATGTGCGACCTTCTGTAAATTAGAATTGAAATAAAGTCGGTGGCATAAAATGGCAGTTGTATT